TACTTGAACAAGGGATTATTAATTTTAAAATGTTTGTTTTAAAAGCATATTAAAGTATTTTATTTAAATTTTCTGAGAGAGAGAGAGACTAATCAATGATAACATCATTAATACAAATAACAAACAGTGAAACTAATCACACATTTAAATGACTAATACTTTACACAAAAACACATCAAAAACAACACTAAAACTTCGCATCCATTTCCCTATGTATTCGCTCGCCGAAGACAACACCTCAAGATCCCTGTCCAACGGCCAGTCCCTAACTTTACACCCGTTCAAAGTGGTACTACTGGGCGCACCGGGAGTGGGAAAGACATCCCTCATGGGTCGATACATGAAAGGCGAGTATAAAGTCCATCGACTCTCGACTACCTGTGCCGACAGTATGACCCGTACGGCCTGTCTGGACGACTCGCGCGTGCGACTGGAGCTCTGGGACACTCCCGGTGCCGATTGGCACCGACACCTCCTACCCATGTATTACGACAGATGTCACGCAGCGGTCGTAGTGTACGATACGACTGTCCGCCGGACGTATAACTCGGCGAAGGCTATGGTGGCGGAGCTGAAGCGCCGGTGCTCTCACGAGATTATGATCGCACTGGCGGGCAATAAAGTGGATTTAGTGGACAGTCGTGTTGTGGGGGAACTGGAGGTCGAGAAGTACGTGAGAGATAATGGACTCATATATGCGGAGACATCGGCTAAAAGTGGTCTCAATCTGAACGGACTGTTCGTTGCGATGGTTAAGCAGTTGCCTGAGTGTGACTGATAGGCACCGGTAGTTTTGTGGACAGTTAGCTATTTTTAAAGTCTCTCTCTCTCTCTCTCTCTCTCTCTCTCTCTCTCTCTTATAGAAAAATCTAAATAAAATACTTTAATATGCTTTCAAAGTAAACATTTTAAAAAATAATAATCCCTTGCTCAAATAATCTTTAGTTAGGTAGTACACAATGTAATAGGTTATTTCAAATAATAGTTAAAAATAAAATTTAAACAAAATACATTAATATGCTTTTAATATAAATATAAACATTTAAAAAATAATAATCCCTTGTTCAAGTAACTTTTAGTTATTTAGCACACAATGTAATAGGCTATTTCAAATAATAGTTAAAAATAAAATTTAAACAAAATACTTTAATATGCTTTTAAAATAAACATTTTAAAAATAATAATCCCTTACTCAAATAACCTTTAGTTACTTAGTTAGGTAACACACTATGAAATAGGCAGTAACAGTACAAATAATAGTTAAAATAAAATTTAAATTTAAAAATAATATTTACTTTTTAAATGAAAACACTTTTGTATGCGATTCTGTAATTCTGGAGAATAGATAACAAAATATCTTTACATATATTTCAATACAGAATTCAATTAATATTCAAATCATTACTTAAATTCAATATAAATATGAGTTTTAATGTTTTCTTATTTTAATTATCATATATTCCTGGATTACTTTTCCCTAAAATTTCCTATTACTTAAGTCAGCGATCGCCAGTGAGACGGTGTGGCTAGGATTGCCAAAATTTTGAATTTTCCCGGAATATTTGAATATTACCATAGCACCACAGAGCAATGCATTTATTTCTCAAATAAAA